AAAAAAAAAAAAAAAAAAAAAAAAAAAAAAAAAAAAAAAAAAAAAAAAAAAAAAAAAAAAAAAAAAAAAAAAAAAAAAAAAAAAAAAAATTAAAATAGAAAAATAAAAAAAAGAAGAGAAAACTTATTAGTTACAGCGAAAAATACTTCTCCACTGTCGCATATATATTGAAATCTAAGTGGAGCCACAGACCTTGTCAAGGAGCACCCCGCTAGGGAAACCTAAACTGACTCTTAGTTAGGTACGGTTCGGGATACTTCATTACCAGGTAGAAGGTTCACGGGTATATCTATGCGTGCAAATAAAAAAGTAATCTGCTAAGAAGTGATATTATACGCTTAAGAATAATAATCTAAGGATACATAAGATGGCATAACCAATAATATATCTGAATAAGACCCACTTAATCTTCGTCTACCCCATACAGACGTGTTAAACGCTCTGAAATTATGGATGAGCCTCCAATATACTCACACGCAAAAAAAAACTGGAAATACTATTGAAGCCTGCATCAAGAGTCTAGGCATCTGTTTAGAGTCTCCAAAGATCATCTCAAAAGTGAGACATTGTTGATCGACGCTCGCTCACTCTATTAAATTCACGCAAGACTTACACCGAACCGCCGCTCATACGTAGAAGTCAAATAATCTAAGACTCTTACGTGTTTTTGCCGAAGGGAATTAACTATTCTAAATTTAAACATCGCTAGCCATGGAGAGTTGGCTAGTATCCATATAGCTATCGATTATGATTGGCCGGCCGGGATATAATTTATCCATGAATCCAGCGAGAAGAATATTCCAGTTGCCCAACGATAGCTTAGCTCTTTATAATTAACAAAGAAGGATATATTTGTTACAAACCCCGTTCCGCCTTTAACGACGTATTATTATATTCCACCTTCTTCTCAAAGTATTTTAAGCACCTGGGTTCTCATAAAGTCTATTCAGGACAATTTCTATTATTTAGCCTTCAGTCTTTTATCTTGACTTTAAGTAATAAAATAGTTAATACATCGGTAATAATTATACCAGTAGTAGAAGAGAAGTAGAAAAGGTTCTGCAACTCTTTTAGATTAACTTGCGATAGTTTAGAACTCCCTTACTTAACTAATATCTTGAGTTAATTAAATCGCGAAGGTAATTGTTGTATTTTATAGCGCACAGCTTTTCTAACTCTTTCTAAAGTTTTAAAATCTAGCACTCGATCTAATCTCTGTGCTGCGAAGCCTTCCCGATCTGCGAACGCAACCGTCTATTAACCATCGAAAGAATCTATTGGGCGATGTCCTGAGACTTAATTCTGCGATTAGCTTTAATAACTTCGATATTAATAAGCTTATTCTATTACTTAGTACTATTATTAATAAAGAGTCGGATAATAGAATCTAAAACAAGATCCTTACTGTTCTTACCGAATCTACTCCTTTACCCAAACCTTTTCCCATCCTTAACCAAACGCTGTTTCTATATACTACAAGTAGCTTCGTAAATTCCTTGGAACAACGAAAGCATATAGATACCGTGCTCAAGAAGGAGCTTAGATTAATCTATATTGGTATACCAGGCTTCTACGAGACATACTTCAGTGGTATCGAGGGTTTGGAAGAGGTAGGCGCTACCCTATTTAGAAGGTGTCAGGAAGGGTATAACCCCTTATTTACTGGAAATGGATGGCGAGACTGGCCACAAAGCGCGAAAGAAAGGGAGGTCTTAGATTGGCTTTCTGATTAGATCAATAAACTTCGCAATATAGTAATTGAAAAGGGATATACCGTAACATCTCAGCGTACGGTTTTTGCACAATTTGATCGACCTTTAAAAGGATCTATGGCCAACCGTAAGCTGGATATCGGTATCATTCGCGATTTAGAGGTAATGAACTAGAAATATAATTGGTTGGATATCCTAGTCCTAGGGGAGCTGAAGAGTAATCTAAAGGAAGATTCAGTCTCGAAGACTTGGCGTGATTTGGGACGCTATGCGAGGGAGATACTCACTATATAAGATACTCGTCGCTTTGCTCTAGACTTTACACTTTATGGACTTAATATACAGCTCTGGGAGTTCGATCGAGTGGGTACCATCGCATCATCGCCCTTCGATATTAACAAAGATAGACTCCAATTCGTTTCAACTATGTTAGGATTTCTTCGGATAAACAATAAATAATTAGGATTTAACTCCAGCATCGTTTCTATATCGGAGGGGGAAAAATATATCGAGATCATACGCGATGGACGATCGGAACGTCTTATTCTCGACAGTCTTATAAAACGGGCCCCTTGTGTTGCTGGGAAAGCCACAACTTGCTAAAAAGCTTACCGTGAAGGGGACAAGGTGCATGCGCCGCTAGTTATTAAAGACTTATAGTAATATCCCGAGAGAGAGAAGAAAAGTAAACTTCTGGCCGAAGTAATGGAGAAAGATGTAGTCAATGTAGCGAGGTATTACTACCATAAAACGGTTTATATAGATAAAATTGTCGATAACATTCGTAGCAATGTACGCAAAGGGCTTGATATGACTTAGGTGATAAATTACCAACCATCACGTTCCCAGTCTTCCTCGATCGCCAATGACATTGTGGATACTCGAAGAATAGATTGTTCTACAAGCAATACAGGGTGCAAGAGGTCATTTAGCTATGTCAGTGCGGCCCTGCTACCCAGCAAACGCACCTGCTCAAGCTCTACAAGCGAAAGCGGACACGGTCCTACGATACAGAATAGAGTACATCGCCGTGTTGTTATCCGTGACTATGGGATTCTTATCTATAAGACAAAGTCGCGCGTCTCTATGTTATCTGCGCTTGAGAACTGCATAGAAGGTAAGTATATTACTTGATAGGTGGTATAGTTTAGTTAATTAATTAAAAAGGTTACGAATTACTGTATACGAAGGCGAGACTTTTATAAGATGACATTTCCACTGGTAATTTGATTGTTAACGAGGAGGAAGAAAATAGATCTTGGCTAGTATTTTTAATTAACTTAGACCTTGCTATCAAGCAGCAACGAGAACGACCTTCTGGAACGAGAGGTAAGATAGGGACCAGGGCTTTTATAGCTATTGGTCTTCTTTTAGGAGAAAGACATAACTTTAACCATGATTTGGAGTCTTTTTTTTAGGTTCTTTTCTGGATTTATATTCATTACAATGGATTAGAAAGTAAGAGTAGGAAGGTGTCCCAATTCGAAAAGTGGAATTATGTCGACACGGAAGAATTGGCTAAGCTTAAGTTAGGAACAATTTCGGACGTAGATATCTTTAAAAATACTATCGAGGCCAATTTTACAGAGTATTACGGGCCGTTAATGCCGTGGGTTCTAGAATTGCGAGAAGTCGTATTCCCTAATAGGAAAATACGAAAGAAAGAAGACAAAGGGGTTTATTTGCGGATGCGCCAGATTCTTAGGAGTGCTTAAGTGGATCAAAAAGTCATAGCTTGATCCATGACAATTTAGAAAAGGAAAGCGTAGCGAATTTATTCGAATTTTGACTAGAATAATGACCATCGTGCTAGAGGAAAAATATCTTTGAAAAACTAACCCTATAACTAGAGTATTTACTATAATATGTATACGCGCCCACCCGAAGATTAAGGATTCTAAAGGAAAATATCAAAATTCCTCCTCTCGTAAGTAGTATAATTCACGGAGAAGTTGCACAGTCTCTAATAACCAAAGCATTGTATAATAATTATCCACTGTCTTCTGCCCAGCAACCGCGAAGTAAACAAAAGAAAACAGAAGGTACAAAAATTAGATAAAAAAAAGAGCAAAGAATAGACATAGAATAATCATAAATATATAACGAGATATCCTTCCTACCGTTGCCTATGGGTTGTGGGGCGTATATCACGGTTTAGGTCTAGCGTCTATATAAAGTGGATTTTTATTAATACTATAAATATACTGACTTTATAAACTACTATAGTATATAATACTGGATTTTATCTCTTTTTACTTTTTTTTCTATTTAAACTTTGACGACCAACGATTTTAAAGGTAGTTATACTCCAAGGAAGAATATTTTTATTACTTTTGGGATTTCTTTTTAGCGTATTTATCAGAACTACCCCAGATCGAAGCTATCTATATTTAATAGCTTTTATCGAATGGATGGCTAGCAATAGCTCTCCCGATTATAAGGCTCTTTATCTAAAGGCGGAGAAAGAGCGCGAAAGGGAGAGGTAGGAATAGCGGCGGGTAGAAGAAGAGCGAGAACGAGAAAAGGAAAAACGAAGGTGGGTAGAGGAGAATCAAAGAAGGCTAAGGAAGAGCAGGACCAAGGAAAAGAATAAATATGGCTAATAACCTTTCTCGAACTCCTTTATCTACGCTACACTATTTTCTCGCTGTAGCTACGAGCTGAAACCCTATCTCGCTTTACAACTGGGAAAACCTCTCCCACCTCCCCAACCGGGAAATATTGTCCGTTGCGGCTTCTGTACTGGGAAGATTATACCACTAGATAATAGGGGATTTACCGCTCTATTTGCGCCTATCTGGTGCCTTTAGATAAGATTACCGCACAGCTATTCTCGCCCCGTCTTGTGCTGGAGGATCTGGGATAAAGGTTTGGTGAAAGAGCTATAAGTAGTGAATAGAATCTAGAAAGCTATGAATAATTTGGTATAGAGAACTATACTTATAATATCCTTACAAAACTCTGCAAGAACCCTACTACCCGAGAGGAATTTGGCTTAGATAATAGAGTTAAGTTTGACAATTATATAAATACTCTCGATCCAACTAAGACTAACCTATCTCTACTAACTATATACCGGTGTTCTAGACCAGATCAATTTTATATACGCTGGATTGATAGTAAGAGATATACCCTTCTTACTACAGTCGAGTATAAGCCATCTCATAAGCTCTCCGTTAAGAATCTTCGCGCAGGATTGCGAGATATAAACTTCTGGAAAAAGATAGTCCAACCGAATTCTATTCCTACAAAGAAATCTACAAAATTAGCGTATAATATAGCCTGGCTGACCAGATTCGCTGTGACTCAAGAGTACTATATAATAATCTAAGAAGGACTTAAGTACTTATATTTAACGAATGGGTTAGCCTTGGTTCTATTATGGATTCCCTATAATAAACTGGGTATATTATACTACTACCTGTTTGAGCTAAATATAAAAATCGATCCAAATAATAACTGGGGCTTTAAGCAGTTATTAACAGCCATTGCATAGATATTGTATCTCTATTTAATAAGTTTTGGCCCGCTAGTCTGCGACTAGATATAGTAAAATCAGGCATCGAAGAAGCTGCCAGTCTAGAAGATAAGTTTCGATTATATCTATTTTTAAATCCCGGAAAGAGAATTACAGTAAAATCTACCGAGCTTAGAATATAGTTTCTTAGAGTTCTAAACGGACGGTGTTAGAGTATTTCCTATTATCCTCTCCGATTAAATCTCCTACGCAATGATATTAAATATTGACCCGGTCTCGAGCCCAGTACATGTCGAATACTATAGAATGTAAGGATTCTCTAGATCCTAATATAGACCCCAGCTCTAGTAGGCGGAAGCGTGGCTTTAGCTAAATTATATTATCTCTATCGTCTCTATCAATATAACGCTCGGCCCGTCAGATCGAAGATTAGTAGAATAAACGTGGCCGATATTAACACAATACTCAATTATGTATCTAGTAATATCTGCTTGGTCTCCAGCGAGGAGGTACGCTAGATAACTACTACTCGAATACTGAGCTCTATTAATAGGGTAGGTCCAGCAAATAATATCTGATCGATACTAAGGGTCTGATTTAGTAGATTAAATAGTAACTGGATAAAAACCTCGACCGCAATTGTACTCTAATAGAAGACTGTGAAATATTAAAAACGCCTTTTAAAATTATGTGCACCGCGTATAGATATATAGTTGTTAATAAAGGAACAATGTCTTACTGGTGGAACGAGGTCAAGTAAGAGATAAATATTTATCGTATCTTTTAGCGAATCTAAGGCCGAGTAGTCCTAGTCTTTCTCGGTATAATCGACCTGGCCATGATCTACTTCCTCGAAGGGGCTGGCCGGATCCGCTATATACTATTTATAGCTTAGGCCGGTAAATTCATTAACAAGTTGGAGGATATTGGGTCGATTAGATATGAAATTTCACAATCGCAGAAGATGATTCGCTTATTCAGGGTCTTATACCAAGACCTTCGGCTGGATAATATATTGTAGAACGCTGAGCTAGGCTGGGTTTTGATTATTAACTTCAATCGTCCGGAACTAGATACCCGACCGACGAAAAAACGAATAAGATTATATAAACAGCTCTTCTGTTAGGTAAAGGAACGTAGGTAAAAACGACCTTGTCTAGGTTATAAATAAGATTCGAGATATATATATTTTTAAACGAGTGTACTGTAGCAAGGCGTATAATATAAAGATAATAAGATTATTTCTACTGTTAAGCATGGATCGGTATAGGATATAATTTTCTTATTTTACTAGACCTTTATGGTTAAGCTATATATTTCTATTGTCTAGGCTATATCGATAGTTGATAAGTCACGAGTGATTTTTAAGTAGCTGGAAGATGTAGCGAAGGTGAATGGCTAGCCTAAGCCATTTTAACTCCGATATCGGTTCTCTAACTATATCTAATACTGATTAAATTATCTTATTACAGTAGGTAAGCAGGGGCAAAGCGCAATTGACCTGGTAATATATCTAAACTCGGGGGTATGATTGGGTGTCAGCGTTTTAGAAAGTCAAGAACGAACTCTTTTAGTAACTATTATCGCGGCAAGTTGGTGTCTACGCAGGTAACGGGTTAGATAGGTGGTCTCAATCCACTTTGTAATGCTACGGTGCTATTTTTATCGTGCTTGGAAACGTTCAGTGTTATAGATATTAGGCTATATTACTGCTATTGGCTTGGAATGAGGTGGCCCAGCGTATTGAAAGTCGCTATGATAGCTTGCAATTCTGTGTAGATATGCCGAGACCGTTTAAAATATCTATTTCGATATCCTAGCCTAGGCTGTCGGTTAACGTAATTTAAGAGAAAGGGAAGTTCTCTTTTATAACTTTATCGAGGGTTTATGTAGGCTTATATTGATAGATAGTAAAGAGAGTAAGATAGTTTTAAAATAGTATAGTAAATCTAGTTTTGATTGGTAGAGTACTTGTTCTAGGCTCCGAAAAGGGAATTACTTAGAATTAGGGTACGCAATATAGCTATTGTAAGAATTAATTATTATTTTTATCCTTAGCTGATCTGCTATACAAGGTATAGTTAAGTCAACCTCGCGGATATATAACTATATATTAGTGTGCCCCTAGCCAGCAATTTATTTACTAGGTAGAAGAGTTAGTTAAATCCCTGCAGTTGTTATAAGTGGAACACTGTAAATCGATAATAGATGGCGCGATATTTCCCGTCACTAATAAAGATATAGGCTCGGTGCACCTGCGGGAGGTAATCGCCGACTTTTCAGTATCCTGGGATACTGGAAAGCCGCCCTCCTCAGTTATAAAAGACCCCTCGACTCCTGCTACTTTCTTCTATTCTAATCTTCTTTGTCTACAATCCCGCCTATTTCTTACCATCTGTTCGAAAGTATTCTTGACCATGATTTCTAATAGGATAATACCATAGCTATATAAATTTAACGAACTACTAAAAGCCGACGAGATACTAATTATATTATTTGGCTAGGTTATTGATATATTTACTTTAGACGTTAACAATAACCTTTATTGTATACCAGAGGTATACTATAAATTATACTAATAATATATCTTTGACTAATTATAATAGATTCAAAGAAGTATCTAATAACTGTGTAAAAAAGCCCCGGAAATAGTGTAGAGTATTGTTATAATAATCTAGAATAGGATTGCTAATTCCTAGGGACGCAAGTGCAAGTATACCGAAGATCCTTCATATCGTCTATTTAAATTAAAAAGATAGAGAGCTAGCTCCCTAACCAGCATATTTAAGAGTAATCCAAATCTCAACAAAATCCCTGGAATCCAGACCAAAATACATAGTAAGCTCTTGTCGAAGCCTTCGCCGCTACCTAATAATTATCTATCCCAGAAAGGCGACTGCAGTGACAAAGAGAATGGTACGTTATTTAGAAAAACTCTAATAACAATAGTAAGCGAAGCTCTTGCTATAAGTTCCAAGGTATAAAATATCGCTTCTATATTAAGCCAATCCGAGGAGCTATTGCCCTATATTTTACCTGACTCGATATTGTAGAATGAGCTCTTATTTGCCAATTTGACTCTAGTTACTGCTATAAACTATATAGATTATAGTTCTTTGCCTCGGACGGAAGAAATATATAGGGAGTAAACTCTATTACTCGGGAGTATTATTTCAGTTAGCTAATCTATACCGAGACTCTTTCTCAATCCATACTCTATTATAGACTCGATTGTTGAAGCTATCTATACTATCTGCTATCTTAGCAAACACAAGGAGGATGTTCCCTTAGATATATATATACGAGTTCTTTAGTCGCTTTAACAAAACTAATCATAAAATAGCGTAGTATCTAATAGTTATTGGTCGGATGATTCGATGTGGGTACAGGTACTTGAAATGGGACAATCCCGAAAAGATCGAGATATTATATAGAATATGCTTAAATATATAGAAGCATAGGAGTGGTACAATATTTAGTTAGAGCTTGCTAAGAAAATAGTTATAATAAAAAAAAAAAAAATAAACTAGTGAGGGATTGAGGTATAGCGATGTATGTTATGGACCAAATACAAGATAGATAGATTAGCGGGGTGGGAATAGTTACGCTGCACGAAGATAAGCTTAATTTTTTATTAAAAAGTTGTTCTATTAGCATAACTGCGAAGGAAAAAAGTTTGTAACGAAGCTATATTAAAATATAGCTCAATAAAGGCAAGCGGTGTACTAAGCTCGTGAAAGATCTTAGGATTAGGATATTGTTCGATTAAAATATCTGGTAAGAGCTAAGAAAACGTTAGTATCAGATCCAAAGTGTAAGTCAATAAATCTCGTACGTTAAGGTGAACTACGAGCACAGCCAGGCTTTCATGGAACTAAGGCGTACCTGGGTACCACGGCTTCAAAATGTTTGAAATATGTGGACTCAGCAATGTGAACGAGCCCTGCAATTCTGTCAGATCGGCAGAACTCGGAATTTCTGTCTCAGGGCAGGTTTTGTCTAGTTTTGTAGTCTATCGAAGATAACAACAGCGGTGACGAAACACCGTAAGAATTCTTAAAGCACAGCATATATTTGGAATTACTATATATATGTCACTTGTTCATATGTATTATTTGACATTATCTAATGTCAGATTAGGAGAGCCCAAGAAGATCGCAGAGCTTGACGACTGTTATTGTTGACGTAACTTGCTATTACTGTAATTTACCATTTGCTTAAGGCCATGCAGATATAGCAAATAAGTTTAATATCTTGTAAAATAACTCACTAGCTACACAATATCTAGTCTCACTCAAGGAATAATTGTATTTATGGAACATCCCACCGCGCTTTGCATGTCAAGACTTATGAGGCGAGTACGTATCTCTCTTACGGAAGCTCAGCACCTAGCCGTAAATAGTAGATAACTTCCGTTGTAACTATATCTTCGTCCACACTTCCATTTCGTATCATACCGCTAAGATAGCCATATGTATATCGAGATGCGAGCTGGTAGTCCTTATATATAGCCAGCGCAGGCTTAATGAGATTCCCGTATTTGGTATATATGCGATTTGTGTTCTATTGGCCTATTAATACTCATCTTCAACTTCAGAAAGAGTGTTTTATTATACATAGTTACAAAAGAATATCGAAGAGCTGTTCAGGTAAGATACACGAGTACAATTGCCGGCTTCAGCACCACAATAGGTATCTTTAGCGTCTCGCAGATGGTTGATATTCACGTCAGTGGGCTTAATATAGGTGAGGCCGCGTGTGAAATCGCAGATGGGCTTTCTTATCTATTTTCAAAGAGATATAAGCCATCGGGTACCTTCAACGAGTTCTCTTGTAGGAGCTTATACCACGCTTTCCCGGTAGACCTCTCTTTTTAAGGGCAGGAGCAGAAAAGTTCGGCGAATTCAAAATCTATGCACGGATAGTAAGCCAAAACTCAAGATTCTCTACCTGATTTTGCCTATACTGTGCTAGTTCTCCTGACTCCTAGGTAAGCTGCAGCACCGTAGATCTACTGCAGTCAGTAAGGAACAAACCAGAAGGACTTGGCAACAAACCACTGTCGCTAAAAACAGGAATAACGTCAGAATGTACCTGCTTTTGAACATTATATCTGCGTGCTTTAGATAAATCTAATCAGTGACTATGTACGGCCCAGGACAGCAGGAACCAACTGGTTTATATCTTTGTAACAAGATCAGTATAATCTATAATAGCTATGGATCCTATCATTACCTGATCGATATTATATACCACAGTTATAATTATTGCTCAAGCTTTGCTTAGTTGAGTCCAAATATAACATAGGCCCGTAGAACCTTAGGCTTTATTCATGGTTCACTTCCTGCAAAAGGTTTCGATAGATAATATAAAATAATCTATATATATTCTTGATATGTCTAAAATTATTTCCCATGGGCAGTACCTTTTTGTTGCGCTTTGTTCGTGATTAGAAACTACCATTGTGTGTTCAGAAACATAATAAGTCATATGTTAATGTAGGTTAAACACCCTGCATAAACTTTGCTCAAACAATTGTAAGGGATACTGTACCTAGAACCCTGCTTCAGTTCTTTCAGCTCGACCGGATAATCAATGTCCTCTAGATATTGATAATGCTTTTTACTGGGGTTAAACAGGCTTGTAAGAGCCTTTTAGAAATGGATTCTAGGAAGAAACTTTGGTTCGCTAAGTACTCGGTAATAAACTAAAACTTGTAGATGACTTAGCAAAGTACTAATGAAATAAAAGTATAAGTATATAACTAAAGTAACGTCAGAGTGGTAAGAGATACATTAGTCCAGTGAAAAATATATCTTAAAACTATTATCCCAATGATTTATTACTATATTATTGCGCTTGTAGTTACTATATTAGCAAGAGCATAACAGTAATCTGGGAAAGGCGTTGAAAGAGCTTACACCTTTCTCATAAGTTTTATTAATACTAATATAGTTTTGCAGTCAGTATATGGTGGGTAAGAACGTTCCATCTCGGTAAGAGACGGATGTAAAGTTCAGCTTGCCACTATTTTTCGTGATTGTGTGTTTCCTCGGTAGTTTTTCTTCACGTCTATTGACTTATAATAGGTTAGCAAGACTCAAGCTTCGTGTGTAAAGAAATCTCGCTGTTGATTTTAGATATATCTTTATAATCTAGCAACGCTGTGATAGCCATAGAGAAATCAGGGCGAAGTACATCTAGCTCACTGGCTAACCAGGTTATGACCACACTTATTTAACCACCTCAAACGACCCAAACCTACTTAGTGATACCTATCAAAAGCGAAGCTAACTCCCGCCAGGGACGACCAAATAGCTTAAGTAAAAGTCCTTAATTTAATACGCAGCCCCTGGAGTCTATAGTAATGGCATCAGCCAAATACCCTACATCTGCAGGTGGTCTGTCCCATAGTGAGACAATGAGTACTACGTTGGGAGTAGAATTATCCTCTCCATCTATATCTGTGTGTGCAGTGAAGTTAATGATAATCTTGTAATATGGATTATCCGAATTATCTAACCGCAATTCACAATAGGATCGGCGAATTATTTGTCGGTAACTGCTATTGTATAAATAGAAGTACCATCAAATATCTGCCTAACGATTGTATTATACTCCCTTGATGCAATTATGATTCGATCAGTGGAGACGTTGCTTTCTCTCTTTGTATTGTTTTAAGATCAGGATACGGTTGCTAGCGAATATAGTGCAAGAAACGCGCGTTCTTCGACTCCTCCAAAGCCCTAGCTACGTGGTAAATTGGATTCTTTCCGTAGAAATACGAGGAGACTTTGGAAAAGATAATATTACTGTATAAATAATAATTAGTTATTTTATTACTTAGCTTATTTTTTAGGAATTATAATAGACATACAAGCGCAACCTGTCGAGTAGAGGAAGTGAATAGAAGGTGTTTAAAAGGAGATAAACACAAATTTGTATAGATTACAGGACCACAGTGACAGGTTACCGACACCGCTGGTCACTCTTTTTTTTACCATTCGCGTATTTGACAAGGGTTGTGGGCAACAACTTTGAGCGATGGCGGACCTGCCCTGGCAACGGAGCAAATAAATGAGGTCCCAACTCATGCTGCTGTGGATAAGATAGGCCCTTATCTATTAATTACCACCATTTCTTCTCCGCCTTATAATTGACCTAGCCTACCAACGCATACATACAGTATATACTATACAGAGTATCTAGCTAAGAATTGAGTTAATCTTACCATTGTAGTATACTAGTATTACAATATTGTATATAGAGAAGGGTGCGCAGTTGGTAGTCAAAGAAACCTGTCTTGGTTATGAAAGACCAGGATCTATATATGGTTTTTTAGTACATTCTAGTTGGCTGAGAGCTATTCTCTAGTACCCTCAGCTTCAAAGACCGCGTACGGGACAAATACAAGACTACCTACACCAAGATGTCACCGGTATATAGTACGTAAAGCACTAGCATGATATGATTAAGCATCGCTGCCAGTAGACTTGGAGTGAGCAGATTGGAGCGATTTGCTGAAAGGGGTAATATTATAATACTGGTAGGCTGGGTGTGGATCTATTTCGGTGTTTCGGTTATAGGTAGCTTTTTAAGGTGTTCCTTACAACCCTCACTTTTTGACCACCCTCCACGAGCTTAGCTGCAGCCCCAGTATAAATGCTCTATTATATAGCCCAATATTAGATATTGTCTAGAGGAGAGTTAGTACTTTCCAGATAGAGTTTCCCACTGCTTTTGAATAAACTAACCCCCAGAGAAGTACTGAGGATCTATCTGGGGTGTGCTCAATACTAGAGTTATATATATCTTTGTCTAGGACTCTACCTGTTTTTGTGTGACTATAGCCTTCCATAAGTGACATACTACTTTCATAATACAACCAATATTCGTAGCTATTCTATATAATATAAATATTTTCCTTTGGGCGATATCTTCTACAATTCAATTTTCATTGTTTGACTGTCTTGGCCTATTGTCCTTTGCTTTCTTATTGTATATTATGGATACATTAGCTATTTACGCTATAACTGCTGGCGGTATACTTAGTAGTCTTTTTTTTTTGAGCTGGACACTCTAGGTAATCGCTAACTGGTCAACTTTATTTTCTATTCTATATGCTCGGCATCTAAGCGTTCCCTTTATTGTTTATATGTATCAGTTTGGGGGTCCCTGGACCCTAGTTGGCATTTTTCTCTATGTATCATATGCTACAATCAATGTCTTTCTCGTCTTTTTCCGTAAGCAATCGTTGGCTGACGCCGGCTCTCGGGCAGGGGAACTAGCCCTGATCAACCTGATTTTTCCGTTATCTACGATCCACCTAAGTTATCTCGCCGATTTACTAGGAATTACCTGGCGTACATGTTGCAGAATTCACCGTGCTATTAGATAGATGGCTATAGCACTGCTATCATTCCACATTGTTGCAGCAGTTCAGATGCGGGGATTTAGCTTTTCGTTCCACGAATCGGCAAACCTTTTCACAATGCTTGTATGATTTATTGTTGGGGCTGGGCTCACTTTGTTCTAACTAATATTCTACAGGGGGCTATCTCACTGGGTATCCTTGCTCTACTTGCGATCCCATGGTTTCGTCGACGGTTATACAAGATCTTTCTCTGAGGCCATCAAGTCCTTACCGGGCTCTTCGTCTACGGCACCTTGCAATATCTTCTAGCCTAGCGGCATTTCCCCAGCATCTACCTCTTCATTGCATTGAGTATATTTGCTTTTACGTCTTTCTTACAACTAGTAACCTTTTTATATTTTAACGGGCTGCTAGCGGGCCGCGGCTGTCCTAAAGCCCTCGTATCATTTAGTGTGAGGGAAGCTAAGGAGGACAGTTCTGCAGTAACAGCGATTCGGATTCGAATTCTCCTACCTCGATCCGTGAAGGTGCAAGCTGGACAATACATCAATCTTTGGATGCCGTCAGTCAGTCTGCGGTCATGGATGCAGACACACCCGTTCACTGTCACATCATGGTCTAGAGATCACCAGGATACTATGGAACTTCTCGTGCAGCCACGCCATGGTTTAACCGCGGATCTTCTTCGCTACGCTCCTGCAGCTGCTGAAAGCTCGATTTCCTTCTTAGCATTCTTTACCGGTCCTCATGGAATTAGTGAGAATGTGGATTAATATGAAAGCGTCTTGGTGATTGCTAGAGGATTTGGAATTGCCACGGTAATTCCATACTTGAAAAAAATGATCTATGGCTATAATACCTGTACCTCCCAGGTTCGCCGACTGCATTTGGTCTGGCAGGTAGAGCTGATCAGTGAGATTATTACAGCTCAGGATCTGCTAAATAATCTATTGAAGGATGACATCATGGATAACAGCTATGTCTGTATTTGCTTGCCACGCAAAGAGACGATCCATTGAAGCTAATTCTTGACCATGTTCTAGATATTCAATATCTTAATTTACGTTGCGAGCGGCCTTGAGTAAAGCGAAGTACCCTTCGGTCATTATAAACGAGTATTTCTTTACCAAGGAATACCAAATTATAGAAAGGTAATCTCGTATGAGGCGTCCAGAGAGCAGATTGAGAGATTGCCCAATATCCAGGATAAGTAAAGTCGAACGCTGGTAATGGGTAGATACTTTTTATTTTATTGTTCAGATTGCAAGCTAACCTTTTCGGCTAAGTTTCCACAATAGATAAACTTCGGGAGGAAATACGGGAGACGGTACGGGAATATTTCTATTAGAGGTTAAAGCTTTCAGAACTGGAGTTTCAATCCAGAGTCGATTGAGAGTGCTCAGAAGCGCGTCCTACTATTAAGTTAGGCTTCAAATCCTTGGAATGGCACGTTATATAGCTAGAGATTATTAATAATTTTAATAAAAGCCAGCAATCCAATGTGGCTAGCCGATAATACTCTCGTAGACTAGTAATTTCAATCTTCAGCTAGATTTAACATGATCTTATGCGTGGTTTCGAATCTTGGTTCTAGAGAACTCTTTGCCTTCTTAATATCTATTCACCTAAATTTATTTACTATCGATAGTATTTAAACCAAAATCTAAAAAAAAGTAAGGCGTAGAGGTATGCGACTGTATTGTTTATTATACATATAAAATCATTTTTAACCATGGAAAACAGTAATAGCAGTGACCAGCAAAGTCACTTAAGATATTTAAGTAATAAAAGACAATCTACTTTCGGAGCAAGGTAAGGTAATCGTAGTTTATCCTATAACTAATCTACATTTATATTGGCAATATTATGAGCCCGGCAGACCTATAAGATATTTCATATATCTATAATCTTCTTGTGCAGAACTATATTTTAAGTAGAAAGTCTTATACCCTTTTACCTACTGTGAGGATCCTTACAAAAGGAAATTTATCATAGAACAAGAGTTTCGTATCAGGGTTTTTATATTCTTTTCACTCACATAAAAGTCGTTGTATAAATACGCTCTTAGTCTAATACTTTCATAACTTAGTCAATATAGCGTAATACACATTTTAAATACTCTTCTAAGAGGAGATTCTGGTGTAGTTTCCAGACTTAGAAACTTCTATATATACCGATCTTCTACATATATCCAAAACGATCTCAAAAGGACTTTCACAGATCATCCCTATACTTAAAAGGCCCTCCTTAATACTCAGACGTCCTTGGGAGACATTGGAATGTTACTCGGGCTTTCGCGGACAATAGACCTTGGTTTATTGTTCAGGCCCCGATTGATCCTGGTCCAGCAGTTTCGAAACAGAGTATAGAAGCCGCCGGTCCTTGATAAGTTGCCCGTCGACTACCAATTTACTTTCCTCATACTCAGAGATCACGAATATCCTATTAATCCTATTGGCAATCGCGGCACGAAAGCATCCGGCAGGGCTCAGGCTCTATAAGTTCACGTCGTACAACAAATATTTCTTCCGCATATATTTCTTCGCAACCCGCTCTACCGGTAAAGGATCTAATATATCCACACGAACAAGGTTAGTTGGCCGCTATTCCCCTCGTTCGAATAATAAAAATGAGATTTCAACAATGTCGGCCGGCGACGGCTCTTCCTTGGATACCCCTGTAGAAGGGGCTGGGCTAGTATAGGCATCGGTAGAGGGCGAAGCAGAACCCTCTGGGGTCCCGGGAATACTGATTGTGCCGGATACTAATACGGGTATCAGATTTTCAGTATCAAGTTCGGTCAAGGAACGTCCCTGCTATCCCGCAGGAGTGTGGCCTTCCGCGGTACCTTGGTCTGGGTTCTGAATAGCGGCCACCGTCTCCGGTGGATCCTCAGCAACAGAGACTGCTGGACCCTGTTCTAAAGCGGGTTGGTAAAACTCCGGTCGGGAATAGTTGGACGATGCCGGTGAAGTCGGCACATGAGGTTTGGGAGACCCGGAATGGTCTTGCGTAACTGATTCCGGAGCTATCTTGGGCTGAGCTGCGAGGAAATCAAGTTCATTCTATAGCCGCTCCTGTTCGAGCTCATCCTCCAGCCGGTCCTGCTCCTCCCGAGCCAGTAGGATCCTATTGATATATTCCTCCATATATGGATCTGGCTGGGTTTCCGCCTGTTCTTCCTCTGGCGGGATTTGCTCAGCTGGGGTCAGACTTTTACCACTAGCAGCCCTACGCGGTTGCTTGGGGGATGGGCTACTCGGGGTTTGTTCCAAATCTACCGCTCCGAGCGGTTGATCAGGGGTAACTATACTGGAAGTGGTCGACTCAAAGAGACCTGAGTCTCTTTCGACGGGTCCTGGTGCAACGACCGGCTCAAGGACACCGTCATCAGGCGGCTCTAATGATGCAGCCAGCTCTGACCTCACCTCACGTTCAGTCCGATCATGTACTAGAGGCTCAGGGTCCGGTGTAGTAGCCCTAGACATCAGATCCACGGCTGCAATTGGTGGTGATAGCTCAGGGGTGCCTGTATTGGTAATCCTCGGATCCGAGCCG